TGTTTTTTTTTTTTTTTTTTTTTTTTTTTTTTTTTATGAGCGAGTCCATTAATTGCATTCCTGATCAATGCCATTAAAAAGACAGCAATGCTATTCTTCTTGTTAAGGTCTAAATGGCTCTACTAATGACACATTAACCAAATTACAGTTTCACTGAAATTCTAAGTTAAATCAGCATCCTAAACCTGAGTCCTAAAATCCTTTAAGAACTTCCCTTCCCCCCCAACTAAAATCACCAAATAATATAAGCAGCAGCTTAAATGTAAATGCAGCCAAGTAGAATGGTTTTGACTTCAAAAGGGATTGATAATGTGAGAAAGATAGCTAAGTTTAAAAGATATTTGCAAGCTACTGGCATCCTATTGACTTTAAACAAGGAGATAAGGCTTCATTCCCAACCCTGTTAGCTGAAAGAATGAGTGAGTTGTCAGGATATCCTTATGTTGATATAAATCCAATGCCTTGTGCAGGAAAGCTTCAGCAATCACTTGCGTTTTAACTACTCCAAATCTATTTCTTCTGCAGTACCATATTTCTCATAAGAGACAAATTCTTCAACTGTTGATCCATTTATTATCTTAGTACTCAAAAGAGAAGCTCCACAGAGCCAAAGAATACTAAGCCTCTAAGAAGAAAAAATAATGAAACCACTAGAGAATTTTCTGCAAAGCCATAATTGTCATTTTCACGTTGTAGGTAGTAGACACAGATTCTTAATCACAATGAACTGGCTAAGACCACATTGCATCTTTTTGAAATGAATGGAGATTATTTCTGGGAGCAAGGTAGCAGAAGCCAGATCTAGCTGTGTGCTGGTAGAAGTTGTTCTGATCCCATTTACTTGTTCTCTGACGTAGTGATATTAAATCCCTCTATGGACCAGGGCATGCATGGCCAGTCTGATACAAAGGCTGACAAATCTTTCCAGAGGCTGAACATTGGGCAGGGGGATAAAATGCCCAGATTAAAAGGTTTGACTAAAAGTTTTGGTCAAAGCAGATTAGAAATTGGAAACGGTCTGTTATACTGCTAGATTCAGTTTGAGCCTGAACTTGATAAAGCAAACCAAAACAAAACTAAAAAGTGAGGCAAGGAACCAGCAGATTGCATAATGGTTACATTGCTGGACTCCCATGTGGTCAACGGCAGTTTGACTCCTGGACTTGGTGGCTTGAAACATGCCTGGCACGAGTGCATACATGCCCAAAATCCTGAGAGGAGAATGGAGGAGTAGGGATAGTGGCATGACAATCCCCCCTGGGGAGTGATTTCTTGCTTTCTGTCTGCCTCTCTGGTGAGTGCACGTGCCCTATAGCAAAAATCTAGCCTCTCAAACAAAACAAAACGAAACAAAACAAACAAACAAACAAACAAAAAACAAGTGAGGCAAAACCCCTAACTGTGAAAGTGAAAAATTTCTTGGAAGAAAGAACTTATGGTAAGGGGAATGAAAGTTCTTTTCAAATATTGAGAATGTATCCTATAACTAAGGACCCTAACCACATCAACACAAAGTTGAGAATTACATGTAGGATTTGTCAGCAGAAGGACGAGTCTGTAGTAATCAAAGTTTCCCTGAAAGGCAACATGCTACCTGGAGAGATAGTAAGCACCCCAGCAAAGCCGAATGTCTCCCTGATAGAGATAAAAGAGAAGATCAGAACACCGGGTAGTTGGAAAATTTTAGGTATTCGAGCCTTTGCTGACGTGATGGTAGTGTGACGACGACAGTGGTGGCAGAGGGGTAGGGATGTTGGTGATTATGAGGGTAGTGTTACTGCTCCAATAGTGGTGATGATGGCAGTGATGGTAGCTATGGATGGAAGTTGCCCTGGCTGTGGTAATGACGGGGTGGCAGTGATTATGGTGGGCATAGTCATAGTGATACCAGGGGTAATGGTCAGTGTGATGATGACGGTAGTGGTAGTGGTGATTGCAGACATGATGGCAGTGGCAATGTTCACAGTGGTGGTGATGATGGTGGCAGCAACAATGGTGGTAGCGCTGGTACATGACTTCTTGTGGAGTCATTCCAAGCCTGAGAGTTCATGGCTCCATGAAGAGCTACCAAATTTGTTTAGCTTAATAAACAATTAGAAGGAGTTCAAATAGAAGACAAACCATTTCAAATCAACATGAGCTCTCCTGAGAAATGTGGGTAATTTAAACTAATATTTTCTTTTCTTTTTTTCCTTGAGTAATTAACAAGGCCTTCAAGGAATGTCTCCATTGCACACTCATCTCATGATGTGTTTATGTCTTCCTCCACTAATCTTAAAAAGTGTTTCTACAGTTGGGTTTCATTCTTTCACAGCAACCACTCCCTGCTCATGGTGAGCAAAATTAAACACTTCTGTAGGCAATGCCATTATCATTGATAAATTCTGTGTGGCAAGTTTTGAGTTAACAAAAACGTTTGACAAAACCACTCCGCACTCTCCCATCCCACTCAGTATTAACACACCTCCAACATTCTTGCTGGAACTGTCAGGCCAAGGTTGTTCCTGCTGGTGTGGAAAACCTCAGAGATTGGAGATGGGATACGATGAAGATTCTGTTCACCAGTTTATCCGATGAACACAGGAATATATGGAATGCTCCAGAGTCTCAGCGTAATTATCTCTTTGGAGCAGCCTTCTGAAGCCTGCTTTTTCTAAGCCCCCATTAAGCCCATCTGTGAACTGAGCTAAGCCCATCTTGAACTTGTCTACCGTTTCAGTTTGCACAAGCTCTCAGGGAGGGAATCCCACATGTAGACTGCCTGCTGTACAAACTACTTGCCTTGATTTATTCTAAACACAATCTCCTTCACGCTCTGATAGGACAATCATTTTATTACGAGGTCTCTCTGTGTCCTCTCTCTTTCCTTCTCAACATTATTCAGAGATGAAAAAATGGTTATTGTAATTTCTATGTTGATTAACTTTATCTTGGACCTTATAGAAACAAGAAAAATGACTGTGTTTGGCTGGAAAACAGAGTTAAATAAGCCTTGTGCTGGATAAAAATGTTCCCTGCTTTCGCTTATTGCTTCTGAAAGCGAACAAGCACAGAAGCCGGAACCTCAGGTGGTGCATACAGAGGAGGCTGCGGCAGCAACCAATGCAGCAAAGGCAGAATTTCAACTTGAGGGGAAGCTCTTGGTTAAAATGAATGCTGCTTATTCAAATTCCCCTCTAGCAACCTGCCTTACAAAGAGAAAGAAATGATGCTTAGTAGCTATTTGAAGCAAGAATTGCAAGGCTTTCTTCTCTTCTAAACTCAGAGCTCAAGGCTTTTTTGTTGTTCTTGTTCTCATGCTGAGAATATTACACCCTTTGATAGAGTAGATTCTTTATCTTTTAAATGAAATGATATAATAGATCTAGGTAGAATAGTTAACATTCAAGAAAGCCACCCTACTTCTGAGGCCTGCTCAAGGTGGCTTTCTAAGACTTGTCTATCCTGGGGTTCCAGCACTTTCTTTCTGTTGTACGAGTCCTCTAAATTCTCGCTTCTATATCCCACCAAAAATACAAGACAAATGTCCTGGAGATGGCTCTTACCTCTGGCTCTCCACAGTCACACTCCTCTCCTTCTTCAACATAACCATTCCCACACTTCTGGCCCCCAAAAGACTGTTTGACTTCTGGCAGGTTAAAGAGGCACATCCCCATTCCTTTCTCCAAGCTGGTTTCCAAGTCCTTCCTGCTACAGCTGCTGAACACCATGGGAAATGGGTACCTGAGAAAGAAAAGCCCAGAATGGTAAGCTGTCAGGGCACAGATGACTTTTCTAGCTCTCCTGGTGCTGCTATTCATGGCACCTGCTAGCAACATCGACCCAGATGTTTGCCATTAGTTTTAATGAATAGAAGTTTAAACATGTAGCATAAAATGAGATTTGATACATCCTAACACTTTGTACAGTACCAACACCACGAATGAAGAAATATGTTATCAAAAAAGAAATGATCTTTGATAGTTTCAAATCAACAAGTTTATACAAAGACTCATTACAGATTTTATTAAGAGCTCTGGGTAAAAAAAAAATGCAATGGATAGTGCATTCTTAGGATCTGCCGCTTGTAATAAGAATACAGACTAGTGTTCTTATTGGAAAGCACACACACAGAAAGGAACAAATAATTATGCTTATTAGCTCCATGATTCCAGGGATACATGGTTTCACCATAGGTCAGGACTGGCTGATACTGCATTCAGATCCATTAAGATCAAACCATGTCTTCAACTGTCACAGTTGTAAGAGAACAGAGGTGCTTTAGAAATACAGGAGTCCTGGGTCCGCAGGTGGTGTAGTGGTTAAGGCACTGGACTCCCACATGGATGATCATGGCTTGAGTTTTTTTTCAACCTGGTGGCTTGAAAAAAATCATACTAGGCACATGTACATGTATGTCCCCAATCCCAGGAGAATGAAGAAAAAGGGATTATGATGTGGCCATCTCTCTGGGGTATGATTTCTCACTGTCTGTGTCCCTCTCTGGGAAGTATACAAACCTTAAAGAAACTTATGACAAAAACCTTAAAAAAAAAAGGAAAGAAATGCAAGTCCTGCCCTTGCCTCTAAATCCCAGGTCTATAGAAGGATGTAACAGTCGGCCAGCTCCCGTCTATGGTTTAGAGGGGCTACCCAGCCCCCATGTACCTGGGAGACTAATTTTAATTTTTAGCAATACTTGGTTACTTTTGGTCAATGGTATTTGAGCAAATCTTCCTTATTTATGGTTTTTCTTTCCTTTTCTGTCGTATGAGATCAGGTTATTCCACAGAGCCAGACGTGGTATCTGTACCCAACTCACTGTAGGAAGTCACGTGTAGCCCCTAAGAATTTGGAGGTTGTTTCCTGTAGCAGTCAGTGTTATCCACCATATACGGAATGTCTCCCTTTTTATTTATTTATTTATTTTTACACAAATGTATATTCCCCCATGTCTTGAAGCAGCAATGATTATAAGGTAAAATCATACCAGCAACCCAGAAGGTTTGGTTACTTAGTGAGGAAGCAGTGTCTGTTGTCCAGCAAGCCAAACATCTCCCCACGGAGATGTTTACAAGATGACATTATAATTGGATCTCAATCAATTGGCCAAACCAATACAAGCTGCTACATTTCCCTGAAGATGGCAGACGAGCCATTACATAATAATTGAGTTTGGCAATATTTTGAGCTTATGATGATTTCTCCTGCCAAACTAATAACATTATACCTTTGCATGCTGTCAATCTCAAGTTAACTCTAGAGTATAATTTTAATCTATAATACAAATAAATTAATAAGTGAAACTCCTGCTCTGTTGCAGCGTAAGGGCAGTAAACCAGGACTTACTTGCAGTGCATTAACAACGGTTCCTCTGAAATCTTTATAACTTTCCTTGGCAGACAGATTGATTATTTCCTGGTGTCAAAGTGATGCTGAATTGCTTAAACAATGACCCACCAAATAAATCTCTAATTTTTTCAATCTAGAAGGACTTTGGAAGGAAGAGACTGGTACATTACATAGGGAATTGAAAGTTGTTCTCTTTTAAAAGAAATCAGCTTCATCAAGATACAGATGAGAACTTCTACATTTGAGGTTTTCTAGGACACACAGGAGGCTCCAAGCCTGATCCAGAAGACTAAACATCATTCTCAATCAATGATATGCAGCTCAGTGCTGTGACAAACTATGACCAGTTTGCTCTGGGAGGGTACTGATTTATTCTAGTATTTTTCCTAACACCTTAAGATGAATATGTTTCTATTTCTAATACTATAAGATTAGTTTTAGGAAAGACACTAGGATAAATTTTAAGTCTCAGGAAGGGTTTATAGGAAGAATAATGGTTAAGGGAAGCCTAGGAAAGTGGTATGAAATTGGCTTTCTAAGGGAGCCCAAAGTATACACAACCCTCCCCCTGACACCCCCTTAAGGAGAACTGGGGGCTGAGACCAGCTTCAGGCAGAGAGCTCAGATAAGTTTTTCCATTTCATTGACTTTTCAGATTAACACACACACACACATTTGGGGTTTGCAGAGGGTGACATTCCAGAAAAGAGATAGGGACAAGCAAGATGAATGAATGAAATTTTAAGTCTAGGATTTAAACTTCAAAATGTTTGGGAGAGAAGAATAGAAGAAATCATTGGGAAAAAACACATTTTTGTGTCTGTGCTAGATGTTTTCAGGTATAAGGATAATAATCTGTGTGTTAATGAACTTAAGAAATTTCTATTTCCCTTAGCTTTTCCTTATTCTGAAGGACAAATTCCAGATGCTTTTAAAATGCTCTCTGGATAAATATTATTCATCTACTGCACAGGCTTTAATCTTGCTCTGAGGAATGACAATAGAAGGTGGCTCTATTTGAATAGCAAAGCAGCATTGTCCTCCTCAGATTACCAAGTGAAGTCTTGATGAATTTGCCAATAGATCTTTCCTCAGAGTTGCACAAGAACAGCACAGAGTGGGTCTTATACTACATGACCCTGGTTCACCAGCTACCACCTGCCTTCAAAGTCAGCACAACGGAAAACTTCCAGTAACTGCTGGCTGTGGTCATAGTTCTGGAGGTGAACGGAAGGAAGGGGCTCCTCTTCCTTTCAACTTGAGGTTTTTCTGATCTTCTTAAGTGACCCCACTGAGGCCCCTCAAGAAGTCCAGCAGCCTGTCCCCAAACATTTCTGCCCTCTCTTTGTCCTGGGGCAGTCAGCATTTCTACCACTTCCTTAAGGAGATAGGGGAAAGGGCTTCTGCTATTGCCCAAGAACTCTTAGTGTCAAATGGTGATGACACCCGGGAGTATTTTCTAGCTGTAGAATATAATTGCTGATTTCATGACTTGAATCAGGTGGCTGGATGACTATTTCACTCTGACAAAATGTTTCTGTACCTTATTTGGGTATTTAGAAGAATTCAGGCTTCAGGGAAAGAAAACCAGAGCAACCTATCACTCATTCTATAAATATGTGATCAAAACCTTATAGGTGGTTGGCATTATTCTAGGTTTTGGGAATCTGGGAGTCAACACAACAGAGTAAAGATCCCAGTGAGACAGATAGGCAATAAGGGGTAGAGTGAGTGAGTGACTAAGGGAAGAGTTAAGGGGAGAGAATAAAACAGTGAAGGAGAGAGGATGTGTATTGGACTTTTAGGGAGGGTGGGCCTCACTGAATGGGGGGTATTATGAGCCCCTCATCCAAAGGCCATGAGGAAAGGTATGTGTACATCTGGGGAGGAGCCAGTATAAAGGTACATGATTGGCATGGCTGGCCTACAGGAATTCATTCAGCTGCGGGAAATAGGCTCTCACAAACACACACAGCCTGACACTCCACTCCTTCCCCACTCGGTGTCATTCCTGGTTAGGCCGAGGTCATGTGATGACAGGAAGACAGGGAGAAGATAAACAGTCTGTCCTTGCGCAGACTGGGTGCTGGTAATGACTGAACTCTTATTTCTCCTTCTTTTCAGCAAATGATTAGGTTCCCAGAAAAGTCACAATGCATTTTTGCATAGAAAAAAAAGAAAAAGTATGTCTGACTTTTCTGACAATCCAATATTTTTGCTTTACCAACAATAAATCTACTCTTCATTGCTCTTTTTCTTCTCTAAGATATTCTCATTTTATTGGCCTATATGACTAAAAATATATCAAAAAATTATAGCTAACCTAATAACCTCCACATGCATGACATAATCTAAAATTATTTCAAATCTCAAGAGATAAGGTACATTTGGTAGTACCAAATACTAGATCCCTCTAATTCTAATACTGTTCTAATCTATACATATATGAAAAAAAATTTTTTTTCAAGTTAGGTAGGAGGAATATGGCACTTGAGGCCTTTATTTCCTGCCTTAGACACAAGGACAGGAAAATAAAATACAAAACACTATAGACATGGCAGAGGGAGCCAAGTGGGACAGGGCCACTCAGGGCTGCTCTGGGAGCCATGAAGGCACTATACAGAGGGCATGAGGTTTCCCAGTAGAAACACCTAATCTCCTTCCTAAATGTGTGATATGTCCTCCTGCCCTCACGTGGGGGATCTCATCAGGAACAGCAGCACTGGGTTCCTCTGCTGTCACTTCATCTTCATCATGTCCAGGCCCAGCTTGGTCAAGCAGTAGATGTGGCTTGAGTGGGTCTGGGGATCCTCAAGGGAGAAGCCAGAAGGGGATAGTTTTAAACAGCAGCACTTCCAGGTCCTTGGCAGCCTTGTCATTTTTGTCTACCTCAGCTTTCTGCCACAGAGTTTCCACAACAGGGCAGTCAGGGTTGATCTCCAGATGCTTTTTGGCCATCATGTAGCCCATTGTAAACTTGTCCCTTAGTGCTTGGGCTTTCATGATCTGCTCTATGTTAGCTGTCCAGCTATAGGTGCTGGTCATAATGCAGCAGGGTGAAGATACAAGCCAGTTTAAGGGTTGACCTTCTCAACCTTCTTATCCAAGATTTCTTCCAACAGTTTGCATAGGTTCTCAAACTTTGTCTTGCTCCCTTCCATGTTCTTCTTCTCCTCTTCATCCTCAGGTAATTCCAGACCCTCCTTGGTAACCGAAACCAGGCTTTTCCCATGGAACTCCTTGAGCTGCTACATGTAGTACTCATCAATAGGCTCAGTCATGTATACCATCTCAAAGCTCCACTTCTGGACCTGCTCTTTGCTCTCGCCAGTTATGTAATAGATGGACTTCTGTGTCTCCTCCATGAGAGAGATGTATTATGACAGGGAAAT